CCCTCTGGAAAGCACAGAGGCAGAAAGGGATCTTGGAGTCATTATTGACTCCAAGATGAACATGAGCCGCCAATGCCAGACTGCAGCCAGCAAGGCCAGCCATACCTTGTCATTCATCCAAAGGTGCATCTCAAGCCGGTCCAGAGAGGTGATACTCCCCCTCTATGCGACTTTGGTCAGGCCGCAGTTGAAATACTGCATCCAGTACTGGGCGCCACACTTCAAAAGGGATGTGGCCAGCCTGGAGAGGGTTCAGAGGAGGGCCACCCATTTGGTGAGAGGGCAGCAGGACAGGCCCTATGAGGAGAGACTGAAGGACCTGAACCTGTTCAGCCTCAGCAAGAGGAGGCTGAGGGGGGACCTGGTGGCTGCCTACAAGCTCATCAGGGGAGATCAACAGCAAATAGGCAGAGCCCTTTTCTCCCCAGCACCACCTGGGGTGACAAGGAACAATGGTCATAAACTGATGGAGAATAGGTTTAGGTTAGAGATTGAAGGCAATATTTTACAGTTAGGCAACCAAAATCTGGAACCAACTTCCCAGGGAAGTGGTCCTCGCCCCTACCTTGGGCCAATTCAAGAGGAGGTTGGATGATCACCTGTCTGGGGTCTTGTGAACCCAGCATTCATTCCTGCCTGCAGCTGCTCTTTATGACTTTGAATCTTCAGAACACTATAGCTTTGCCTGCTAGAAATGAAAAAACAGAATAAACTAAAAAACTGCTCTTTATGACTTTGAGTCTTCAGAACACTATAGCTTTGCCCGCTAGAAATGAAAAAACAGAATAAACTAAAAACACAAGTTTATTTTACTAATGCTTATGTGTAGTTTTAATTGTTGCTTCTTTCCTATCTAAAATTAAGTGCAAACCAAAGCTACATCAATGATAGTTAAATATGACCTTATCTTAAAACAGTCAATAGTCTTAAATTAAATAGAAAACAAAATTAAAATAGTGCTTAGTTGAAAAAACATCTTTAAAAGAGTATTGTATAAAGTATTTTAAAGTTTTTCTGGTGGCTTCTGTCTTTGTAAATCCAAAGCCTGTTGTAATCTTTTATTGATTTTTTGAAAGTGCTTCTCAGCTCTTAAGATTCTTCGTGATTCGATCAGAAGAGCAGGTAGGCTGGAAACACCATACTGTTGGAGAAGGAGAAAATTGCTTTCAAAGGAATGCCATGTAAACATTTTCCATTAAGTTCTTACCTGTTTTGAACCCTTCATTTGTCCCATTATTTAAAACACTGGAATCTGATTTAGTGTCACTATTTAAACATTCAGAATAGATCATTAAGTTAATGTATGGCTAAGGGAATGTCCCAGAGTGGAAGAGATTTCCCTAGGCCAGCAAATTTGAGAGAGGACTCCAGAATATAAGCACTTCTGTTCTGTAATATAATTCCTGGAGATAAGGCTAAAACTGCCTCACCTTCTAGACGCAACTAACATCTGAACGATTTTAAAGGTGTAGTGAAAGTTTAGAAATCATACTACAATCTTCACAGGATGAGAGCTTCTTGACACCGTTTTTATTCCCTAAAGCTAAACTCAAGACTGATTTAATTTGTTTCCCTACTGAACATTTTTTCCCAGTTTCCATATTAAAATAAATCTAACACACTATATACATATATACACGATCCATTCACTGCACTTATTTTTCAGTTGTGGTTTGGAGTTGCAACCACCAACAATGCTACGGTCTAAAAATAAATAAATACATAATAAGCAAAATATACTTACAGTTACTTTTTCCAGTGGGTGTTTTTCTCTGTTATCGGAATACTCTTTTCGCAATTCTTTTAAGTCAGTTATAAATTGGGTGGTAATCCTGAAGGATGATTTCCTCTCTTGTAGCTCAGCATATTCCTTTTGTAACTGCTTCAGCTTTGGTTCAGTCCTGCAAAATACCAAACAATCAAGTTCTGAAAATTTTTTCAGGAGTTATTTTGAGCGTTTTGTTTCTGTGAAGATGGCTTGGTATGTGGCATAGCTTCCTGTTCAATTGAGGTAAACATTATTATTAAGTGGATATTAGTACTGGTGCAAATCCACAAAACCTGCAGTTAAGTCTGAAGTTTCCTGAAAAGCTGCAGACGTATCTCAAGGGTTTAATCTGCGAAGTTCCCTCAATACCTAGACTTCTGGCTCTGGGCACCTGCAGGCCAGTCAGTATGTCTAATGCCTTAGCTTAGTTGGGATTATGACTAGATGGGGTCCACCACCTACATTTCCTGATAGGCTAATATGCTAGTGTTAGGCATACTTGGAACATGGTTCAGTCAAGCACAAAACACTGCGGCAATGTCCATTTCATTCAAGCCATGGTGGAAGTACCTACCTTTTCCATGGTTCCCTGCTGGTTAAGATCACTCTGCCAGGAAGCAGGAGATCCATAGCTCCCAATGCTATAAGGCTGAGGGTGCTATCTACCACTCTTGTTGAAGCTGTACCACTATGCAACAAAAAACTTAAAATATTTAGGGGCCAGAAAGAGGGAGCCCCCATGAGGATTTTCTCTGGGCACAATGGCGGAATTTAAGTCATTTGCTAAAATACTTAAGGAAGGACTGGACTTCGTCCAACCCTCTCCAGTGAATACTAGAGTCACACTCCTTCCCCCTGGCCCCATGACTACTATATATGGTAGGTGCAGTCTTATTAGCAGAAGTGGTGGAGAGTGCCCCTCCCAGCCTAGCTGGTAGCCCAATACTCTTAGGAGAGGAAAGCTGTGGGTTTAAAGTTGAGTCCCGCTTCCTTGACAAAGGCAGGCAATGTTGGGCTCTTCCTCCAGTTGTTTAAAAAAAAAAGAGTAAGCAATTGTATATAGCCCAAAGGGTGCAGGGTCCAAGTCCATATAGGGGCTTCTGACTATTACTCCTAATCACACAGGCACTTACTTTCTGGAGAGGGAGAAGGATTTCAGACATAGTCCTCCCCAACATTTCCTACAGGCCAATTTAGGTATTTCTCTGTTAACCAGGCTTACTGTTGCAAACCCCATTCTGAGTCTCAACTCTCCCCATGCCCAGCAAGCAGAATTTAGGCTATGCCTCTAATGCTTCTGTCACAGTCCCAAGAAGCCACAGCACTCAAGCATGCTGGAAAAAAACGTAGACACAGAGCAGTTATGGGAGGCCCCAAGGGCATCTTCCAGTGCCTCATTTCTGGGTTTGGCAAAGGTCGAGTGGGAACAAGCCAGCAGGGTGTGCTTAGTGAATGGCTATACCCTAAGGCACATGACTCAGTTTTGTGGACTCCAATTCTGGGACCAGACAACTAAAAATAGGTGTTGTGTAACAACAATTCAGTGCTCTGCTGAATCTTTTTTTAATCTATGATCTACAAGATACTGCAGATCCCATACATGCTGTCCATGTAAATTATTTTGTCATCAATTAATAATTGTATTCTTATTAAAAAAAAAATCAGAGAAGTGGTCAGGGGATTCTAAGGGATAGTTCTTGTCAAGGAATACAACCTAAAGTAAACTAATATCTAAAGGTTAAAGCATAGCCCAGAGTAACGATTCCTAAAAATTGTCTACGTTAAGAAAAA